CTTTGATATAAGTTGAAGAATTCTCTCCTTTTCAAAATAATAAATAAATACCCAATGATTTCACTCATTGAAAAAATAATGAGGGTTGTGATAAAACCCTTTTTGAAATTTAAGAACCCGAAAATGTACTTCAAAATGCACCACAATAAGAACTTCCATTTTTTCTGGAAATCTTTCATTTATTTCGAAGTTCATAGTAATGTCATTCAATCTCAATAAATAAAAATTTCAAGAAAATGTCCCGCTGGCAATTTTTTTTTGCCATTTTTAGAAAAAATGGAAACGAGATAAAAATTTTCATTCTACAATCACAAAAGTGCATTTTGGTTTGTTGTTATACAAATCAAAACTCATTTTTGAGATATGAAATATTTCTTGCTTGAAATCTGAACGTGTAAAAAGAAAAATGAGAGATGAGAACTCTATTCGATACTTTATGGAGAATGAGACCTTGATACATAACGTCATTCCGTTTTTAAAGGAACAGGAAATGCTCGCCCTCATGTGTGTGAACAAGAGGGTGTGCACGGCGGTGCACTCGGCACCTCATCTCCCGTATCTCTCGACACCTTTTTTGTCAAAAATGCTGAGTGAGCACAAAGCACCTGTGAGGGTTTATGTCGATAATTATAACTGTTTTATGACTAAGAACGACGACGTGACAGTATCTTATCGCCACGCATTTAACACTCCATGCGTCCCTCCTTATATGCCAATAAGGAAAAACATATCTGTGTTGAACATCCCAATACACCACGATTACAACATTGACCTCTCTACATTCCCACATCTCACAAAACTGGTGGTGACTGTGTTCTCACAACCACACCAAGATCTTCCTCCTCTTGTGCTCAAGAGTTTCCACGTCCATCTAAGTTCAGCGAATGACATTCCTTCTTTGAACCGAATGACCAAAGTCATTTCCCCAACTACCGTCTATTTAAGATCTCCGCGATCATACAATATTGCAGAGATCAAAGCGATAATGCCTGGTGCTGTTGTAGTCACTCCAAAATTGTACGACATATCACAACTCAGTAAAGTTCACTACGTTCTCGACTCCATCCAGATAGAAACAAAAACCGTGTCATGTTTCTCATTGCACGCCGAAATGGCATTCGACAACAACAACGATTTTATCAAGCAGCGCATGATACAATCTGCGTGCGTCTACGGTTCTCTCAAAAGCATTCCAACAACACCTCTCCGATTTACTGACATCATCTTATTTGGAGTTACACTTCCTTCCTCTGGTCAGCTCTCCTTTGTTGGTGCCAAGAACCTTTCGGTTTACAAATGTTCGAATATATCGACACTTCACTTCGACAAGTGTGATTTGCAATCTCTTACCTTTTCTCGTAACAGTTGTCTATCCTGTTTTAGGATCCCAAGTACCATAACCTCTTTGGACGCGTCGCAGTGGAAGCCAGTGACCATCCCAAACTTCAAATTTCTACGAAATTTATGTCTCTCAAATTGTCCAACATTCCGCCACCTTTCAATCCCATTTTCTGTCACGTCTCTCACACTCAAAAACTGCGAGAAAATCCGAAAAATCTCAACTCAAAATCTCATTCTCCAAAAAATGGAACTTGAAAATGTGGGAGAACTCAAATCTTTATATTTTCCAACGACATTGGTGGACCTCACTCTTGACAGTGTTGCGTTGCCGGTGTGCGACTGTTCATCGCTCTTGAAACTAACAAAGTTGGTCGTGAGCAACTGCCCCAAACTCACGAAAATAACCATCACCAACGAAATCAGTTCTCTCGAGATTTCTTCGTGTGAGCTTTTGACTTCGTTTGTTCTTCCTCAGTTGAGGATAAATGATCTTCTCATTTCGGCGTGCA